ATGGGTGCTGATGAGTTGATGGGTGCAGCACACCAACATGGCACAAGTATACATATGTAACAAACCTGCACGTTATGCACATGTACCCTAGAACTTAAAATATAATAATAATAATAAAAAAGACAACACATTCCCAGAATCAAAAGGTCAACAGGAATTAAACACCTATGCTGATAAAGGACAGATCACCAAGGACTCTGGGTTTTGAAAAAATCTCAGATAATGTAGCATATTGAAAGATACTCAGTGGATCTGTTTTTCTTGGAAGCAAATAACTCACCGTGTTTTTATACAATATCTGCTACTCCCAGTCCCCATCAACCAGACCTCATTCAACAAAACACCTTTTATATAGCATTTATCAATTTATTTCTCATATAATGTTTTTAGATAAGCACAATAAATAGCTAAAAAGAAAAAAAAAAGCATCTGTGCATGTCCTTCACTCACTTTTTAAAGGGGTTGTTTGTTTTTTTCTTGTAAGTTTAAGTTTCTTATAGATGCTGGATGTTAGAACTTTGTCAGTTACACAGTTTGCAAATATTTTCATCTGTTCTGTAAGTTGTCTGTTTACTCTGTTGATAGTTTATTTTGCTGTGCAGAAGCTCTTTAGTTTAATTAGATCCCAATGGTCAATTTTTGCTTTTTTCATAATTTTTTTTTTTGTCTTTGTCATGAAATCTTTACCTGATCCTATGTCCAGCATGGTATAACGTAGATTGTCTTCCAGGGTTTTTAAAGTTTGGGGTTTTACATTTAAGTCTTTAATCCATCTTAGGTTGATATTTGTGTATGGTGTAAGAAAAAGGTTCAACTTCAATCTTTTGCATATGGCTAGCCAGTTATCCTAGCACCATTTATTGAATAGGCAGTCCTTTCTTCATTGCTTGTTTTTGTCAGCTTTGTTGAAGACCAGATACTGGTAGGTGTGCAGTCTTATTTCTAGGCTTTCTATTCTGTTCCATTGGTCTGTATGCCTGTTTTCGTACTAGTACCATGCTGTTTTGTTTACCATAGCCTTGTAGTATAGTTTGAAGTTAGGTAACATCATACCTCCAGCTTTGTTCTTTTTGCTTAAGATTGCCTTGGCTCACAGGTATACCTATGTAACAAACATGTACATCCTGCACAGGTACCCCAAAACTTAAAATAAAAGTTGAAAAAAGAAAGGTTGTCTTGCCTATTGGGGTTCTTTTTTGTTCCATATGAATTTTAAAATAGTTGTTACTAGTTCTGTGAAGAATGTTGTTGGTAGTTTGATAAGAATAGCATTGAATCTATAAATTGTTTTGGGAAGTATAGCCATTTTAATGATATTGATTCTCCCTATTTATGAGCATGGGATGTTTTTCCATTTGTTTGTGTCTTCTCTGATTTCTGTGGGCAGTATTTGTAATTCCCATTGTAGAGATTTTTTTATCTCCCTCGTTAGCTGTATTCATAGGTATTTTATTCTTTTTGTGGCAATTGTGAATGGAGTTGCTTTCCTATGTGGCTCTCAGTTTGGCTGTTGTTGGTCTACAGGAATGCTAGTGATTTTTGTACATAGATTTTTCTATCGTGCAAATTTGATAAAGTTGTTTATCAGCTGGAGGAGCTTTGGGCCAAAACTCTAGGGTGTTCTAGATATAGAATCATGTCATCTATGAAGAGAAATAATTTGACTTCTTGTCTTCCTATTTGGATGCCCTTTATTTCTTACTCTTGTCTGATTGCTCTGGCTAAGCCTTTCAATACTATGTTGAACAGGAGTGGTGAGAGAGGGCATTCTTGTCTTGTGCCGGTAGTCAAGAGGAATGCTTCCAGTTTTTGCCCATTCAGTATGATGTTGACTGTGGGTTTGTCATAGACGGCTCCTATTATTTTGAGGTAAGTTTCTTGAATACCCAGTTTATTGAGAGTTTTTAACATGAAGTGGTCCTGAATTTTACCAAAAGCCTTTTCTGTGCCTATTGAGATAATCATGTGATTTTTGTCTTTAGTTCTGTTTATGTGATGAATCTTATTTATTGATTTGCAGATGTTGAACCAACATTCTATCCCAGGGATGAGGCCTGCTTTATCATGGTGCTTTAGCTTTTTGATGTGCTTCTGGATGTCGTTTGCAAGTATTTTGTTGAGAATGTTTACATCAAAAGGATATGAACAGACACTTCTCAAAAGAAGACATTTATGCAATAAACAGACACATGAAAAAATGCTCAATGTCACTGGTCATCAGAGAAATGCAAATCAAAACCACAATGAGATACCATCTCATACCAGTGAGAATGGCAATCATTTAAAACTTAAAGTATAATAAAAAGAAAAAAAGAATGGCAATCATTAAAAAGTTAGGAAACAACAGATGCTGGAGAGGATGTGGATAAATAGGAACACTTTTACACTCTTGGTGGGAGCGTAAACTAGTTCAACCATTGTGAAAGACAGTGTCACGGTTCCTCAAGGATCTAGAACTAGAAATACCATTTGACCCAGCCATCCCATTACTGGGTGTATGCCCAAAGGATTATGAATCATGCTACTATAAAGACACATGCACACATATGTTTATAGTGACATTATTCACAACAGCAAAGGCTTGGAACCAAGCCAAATATCCATCAATGATAGACTGGATTAAGAAAATGTGGCACATATACACCATGGAATACTATGTAGCCATAAAAAAGGATGAATTAATGTCCTTTGTGGGGACATGGATGAAGCTGGAAACCATCATTCTGAGCAAACTATCACAAGAACAGAAAACCAAACACTGCATGTTCTCACTCATAGGTGGGAATTAAACAATGAGAACACCTAGACACAGGACAGGGAACATCTCACACTGGGGCCTGTCGTGAGTGGGGGTCTGGGGAAGGGATAGCATTAGGAGAAATACTTAATGTAAATGTAAATGACAAGTTAATGGGTGCAGCAAACTAACATAGTACATGTATACCTATATAACAAACCTGCATATTGTGCACATGTACCCTAGAACTTAAAGTATAATTTTAAAAAAAAAAAAAAGAATACAGGATTGGCTTGTTTTTTTGTTTTGTTTTGTTTTTTGTTTTTTTGGGGTTTTTTTGACAGAGTCTTGCTCAGTCTCCCAGACTGGAGTGCAGTGGCACGATCTCAGTTCACTGCAACCTCCACCTCCTGGGCTCAAGCGATTCTCTGGCCTCAGCCTCTCCAGTAACTGAGATTACAGGCGCACACCACCACACACCCAGCTAATTTTTGTATTTCTTAGTAGAGACGGGATTTCACTATGTTGGCCAGGCTGGTCTTGAACTGCTGACCTCATGATTCACCCACCTCGGCCTCCCAAAGTGCAGGGATTACAGGTGTGAGCCACTGTGCCCGGCTGATGGACCTGTATTACTACTATTACTATTATTCTTATATCCATTTCACAAATGTGGAAATGGAGCCTCAAAGAAGTTATGCATGTTGCCAAAAATTGACTAATAACTGACCCTGAATTTGGACATAAACCTATCAACTCCAAGCCCGCAAATGCTCTGTGGAGTGCTCTACTCTGAGTTAAAAGGACACTTTCCTAGACCATATGGGAGCAGAAGTCCTCAGTTCTTTCATGTTCTTTCATCCAATTCTATCAATGGGACAGTTGTTCTACCATAGCCAAATCGCTAACAGAGCATTGATTCTTCATTTTAGCTATTGGGAGTGCTCTAACTGCTCGCTGAATTTTTCAATGTACTTCCATACAATGGGTGAGTTTTGGGGAGAATAACGAAATGTGAAGCAGCTACAGAGAGGTGATGTCACCTAATGGAATATGTCCTATGTTAGTTCTCCCAACTTGGATTATAGGCCCCCATCACACCTCCCAATTGTTAACTAAATAGCAGAGACTCTTGGCAAGTCACTTAACCTCTCTGTGCTTCTAATAATAACTACAATAAAGCCAGTATCACCTGAAAAAAAAAATGCTTAACATAATTTAACCATTACTGAAATTCAAATAGGGAGACAACATTTCACAGCCACTAGGATTGCTGGTGTGAAAGTTAATTATTCAAATTGAGTCATTCTTGTCATACCCAAATAAATCAGTCAAGGGGCCACAGGGAAAAAGCCCTGGGAGCTCATAGCACCTGATCCAAAAATTAAATCTTCTATAAGCCCAGCTGCTGAAATGGCCTGCTGTAACCCCAAGACCAACTTTACCTAGCAGCTTCTGAAACAACCTGCTGGGACCCTAACACTGGTTTTACTTACCACCATCACTCACTAATCAGAGCTAGCAAGAAGCTTGCTATCTCCCAAAAGCTTCTCTAGTGTGAACGAACTTTCTTTCAAAACAATAAAGAGTATGTCTTTTTCTAATAACATTTCCAACATTCTCTTTGGGACATACTGAGGACAACTTGGTCTGTGTGTATGCCCTAAATTGCTTTCCAAATAAAACATTTTAAATGTAAAAAAAAAAAAAAAAAGATGGCATCAACGTTAATCAAATATATTGGCCTGAAGTTTTTTGTTTTTGTTTTTGTTGTGCCTCTGCCAGGTTTTGGTATCAAGATGATGCTGGCTCCATAGAACACGTTGAAAAGGAGTTACTCCTTCTTAATGTTTTGAAATAGTTTCTGTATGAATTGTACCAGCTTTTCTTTGTACACCTGGTAGAATCTGGCTGTGAATCCATCAGGCCCCAAGTGTTTTTCTTAGTAGGCTATTTATTACTGATTTAATTTTGGAGCTTGTTATTGGTCTTTTCAGGAAATTTATTTCTACCTGGCTCAGTCCTTGGACAGTGTATGCGTTTGGGAATTTATTCATCTCCTTTGGATTTTCTAGTTTGTGATAGTAGAGGCATTCATAGTAGTTTATAACGGTTGTCTTTTTTTTTTTCTTTTTGAAGGGATAAGTAGTATCATTTTTATTAAACATTTCTAATTCTGTTTATTTGAATCTTCTCTCTTTTCTTTTTTATTTTTTTTATTTTTTATTTTTTAGAACATCTTAAATTTTTAATCCTTTCTTTACAGGTTACCTAGACCACTTTTGATTAAGAAAACTGTAGAAAGTTAATAACTGCCACAAGCGAACGCCAGGCGGTGGCACGTGTCAATTTCCACAGAGTCCTGCTTTGCAGGGTGTCTGAATGCACTGCACGGGGCCTCTGCTCACACTTGCTGGAACCAATCGTGGCAGATTTTAGTCCACAAGTCGCTTTTCCCCATATTTCTTTGTAAACTCTTCAGCATTCTTACAGAATTTTTTACGGTCCTTAGAGTATTCTTCAGCAAGGTCAGCCCGAAGCGGGTACTCGGGCTGGGGGTCATTCACCAGTGCTATGAGGGACTGGATTACTTGGTCGGTTTTGGTTGCTGGCTTCCAGTTTTCAGCGCTAATTACTGGCAGACAGACCTGCCCCTTTTCGTCAATGTTCGGGTGATAGATCTTTGTTTTAAATGTGATCTTCGGTGGTTTGAATGGGTACTCTGCTGGAAAGTTGATTTCGATTCTGAAGGCCCCCTTATCATACGGAGGGTTGTCAGGAACAATAAGCCCTTACCAAGTCAATAAATTAGCTTCATCAACCTGGATGTTACGGAAGTTTTTCATCCCACATTTGCGGATTTCTTCAAGCTCCTTCATCAGCCTCCTGCTGGCCGCCATCTTGGATTTGGTTCTCTTTTTTTTTTTTTATTAGTCTAGCTAGTGGACTAATTTATTAAATTTTTCAAAAAACCAACTCTTGGATTTATTGATCTTTTGAACTCTTTTTCATGTCTTGATTTTCTTCAGTTCAGCTCTGATTTTGATTTGTTTTTATCTGCTGGTAGCTTTGCAGTTGATTTATTCCTGCTTCTCTAATTATTTTAGTTGTGAAGTTAGGTTGTTAATCTGAAATCTTTCTAACTTTTGATGTGGGCATTTAATACTATAAATTTTCCTCTTAACACGCCTTACCTGTGTCTCACACATTCTGATATTTTGAATCTTTGTTTTCATGATTTTAAAAGAACTTCTTGATTTCTACCTTAATTTCATTATTTACCCAAAAATCATTCAGGAGTATGTTGCTTAATTTCCATGTAATTGCAGTTTTGAGCAATTTTCATAGTCACGACTTCTATTGTTAATAGTATGTTTGGCATGATTTTAGTTCTTTTATGTCTGTTGGGGATTGTTTTCTGTCTAATTATGTGTCAATATTAGAATATGTGCCACGTGGCAATGGAAAGAATGTATATTTTGTTGATTTGGGATGGAGAGTTCTGTAAAGGCCAATTAGATCCATTTGGTTTAATGTTAAGCTCAGGTCCTGAATATCTTTGTTAATTTTCTGCCTCTATAATCTGTCTAATATTGTCAGTGGAGAGTTGAAGTATTCCACTATTATTGTGTGGGAGTCTACGTCTCTTTGTTTCTTGGTAGGTCTCTAAGAACTTGCTCTGTGAATCTGATTGTTGCTGTGTTGAGTTCACATGTATTTAGAATAGTTAGGTCTTCTTGCTGAATTGAACCCTTTATCATTATGTAATGCCTTTGTCTTTTCCGTCTTTTTTGATCTTTGTTGGTTTTAAATCTCTTTAGTCTGAAATTAGAACTTTAGCCCCTGCTTTCTTTTGTTTTCCATTTGCTTAGTATATTTCCTTTCATCTCTTTAATTTGAGCCTATGAATGTCATGATGTGTGACATGGGTCTTTTGAGGACAGTATATCATTGAGTCTTTCTTTTGTATCCAGCTTTCCACTCTGTACATTCTAAGTGGGGCATTTAGTCCACATGCATTGCAGTTTAGTATTGGTAGATATGAATCTGTTCCTGTCATTGTGTTGTTAGCTGGTTTTTATGTTGGCTTGTTTGTGTGGTTGCTTAACAGTGACACTGGTCCATGTGTTTAAGTGCGTTTTTGTATTAGCTGATAGCAGTCTTTCCTTTCTATATTTAGTGCTCCTTTCAAGATCTCTTGTAAGGTATGTCTGATGTAAGATATTGCTTATCTGAAAATGATCTTAGTTCTTCTTCACATAGGAAACTTAGTTTGATTAGATATAAAATTCTTGGCTGAAAATTTTTTTCTTTAGGAATGTTGAATATAGGCCCCAATCTCTTCTGGCTTATAGGGTTTCCACTGAGAGGTCCACTGTTAGCCTGATAGGGCTTCCTTTGTAGGTGACTTGCCTTTTGTCTCTAGATGTCTTTACATTTTTTCTTTTATTTTAACTTTGGAAAATCTGATGATTATGTATCTTGAGGATGAACTTCTTGTTTAGAATCTTGCAGGAGTTCTCTGTAGTTCCTGAATTTTACTGTTGGCCTCTCTAGCAAGATGGGGGAAGTTTTCATGAACAATAGCCTGAAATATGTTATCCACATTTTTCACTTTCATCCCCTTCCTTTAAAACATGCCAATGATTTGCAGGTTTGGTCTTTTTACATAATCCAATACTTCTTGGAGGTTTTGTTTATTCCTTTTCATACTTTTTTCTTTATTTTTTTCTTACTGCCTTATTTCAGAGAACTACTTTTCAAGTCCTGAGATTCTTTCCTCAGCTTGGTTTATTCTGCTGTTGATAACTTCTAATTGCATTGTGAAATTCTTGTATTGTGTTACTTAGCTCTGATCCATTAGGTTCTGTTTTATACTGCTATTCATCCTTCAGCTACTGTGTTACTTTATTGTGATTCTTATTTTCCTTGGATTGGGTTTGTCATCCTCCTGAATCTCAATGAAAAATATGGGACACTTCACAAATTTGTATGTTATCCTTTTACAAGTGCCATGCTAATCTTCTTTATATCATTCCAATTTTAGTATATGTGCTGCCAAATTGAGCATGATAGTGTATTTTCAACAAGACCCTTTTGCTAATATCAATTTATATAACAAATTAGTAAAATCATATTATTCCCTTTTTAACAAGTATCCTGCTGGGAATGGTGGCTCATAACTGTAATCCTACCACTTCGGGTGACCAAGGCAGGAGATTTGCTTAATCTCAGGAATTCAATATCAGCCTGGACCCCATCTCTACAGAAAATAAATTTACAAAACATTAGCTGAGTGTGGTGGTGCATGCCTGTAGTTGAGCTACTGGGGAGCCTGTGGTGGAAGGATCACTTGAGCCCAGTAGACTGAGGCAACAGTAAGCCATGATCATGCCACTGTACTTCAGCCTGGGTAACAGAGCAAGACCTCTCACAAAACCAAAACCAAAGAAAACAAATATCCAAGGTCTTCTGTGGTGTCAATGTTGCTAATTTCCATTCACATAAACACCATGTTGTTATATCCTAATATTTTAACACTATTTTAAAATATTTAAAGTTAATGCAGTGTTTATATTTACACAGAGTCATGATATTTTTATTTTACTTTACCAATCATAAAATTAATGATAATTTGTGAAGAGGTTATTGCTAATTAAACTTATAAACTAAAAAATTTCCAAGGCGGGTCTCAATCAATTTAGAAGTTTATTTTGCCAAGGTTAAGGACATACTCAGAAAAAAATAAACATGGAATTATAGAAACAGTCTGTAGTCTGTGCCTTTATCCAAGGATGCCTGAGGGCTTCAGTATTTAAAGGGAAAAATTGGGCTGGAGGACACAGATGGAGGGTCTAGTAATTCACATGTTGCAAGAGAAAAAGGAGCAAGTGGAGGAATAGTTAATTTTGTATTCTAAATATCAGAGGGCCTCTTCTCCTCCAAAGGAATGCAGCTCCTTGCCAGCAACGGAACAAAGCTGGATGGAGAATGACTTTGATGAGTTGAGAGAAGAAGTCTTCAGACGATCGGTAATAACAAACTTCTCCGAGCTGAAGGAGGATGTTTGAACCCATAGCAAAAACTAAAAACCTTGAAGAAAGATTAGATGAATGGCTAACTAGAATAAACAGCATAGAGGAGACCTTAAATGACCTGATGGAGCTGAAAACCATGGCACAAGAACTACGGGATGTATGCACAAGCTTCAGTAGCCAAGCCAATCAAGTGGAAGAAAGGGTATCAGTGACTGAAGATCAAATGAATGAAATGAAGTGAGAAGAGAAGTTTAGAGAAAAAAGACCAAAAAGAAATAAACAAAGCCTCCAAGAAATATGGGACTATGTGAAAAGACCAAATCTACATCTGATTGGTGTACCCAAAAGTGATGGGGAGAATGGAACCAAGCTGGAAAACACTCTTCAGGATATTATCCAGGAGAACTTCCCCAACCTAGCAAGGCAGGCCAACATTCAAATTCAGGAAATACAGAGAACACCACAAAGATACTCTCAAGAAGAACAACTCAAGACACATAATTATCAGATTCATCAAGGTTGAAATGAGAGAAAAAAATGTGAAGGGCAGCAAGAGAGAAAGGTCGGGTTACCCACAGAGGGAAGCCCATCAGAATAATAGTGGATCTCTCAGCAGAAACTCTACAAGCCAGAAGAGAATTGGGGCCAATATTCAACATTCTTAAAGAAAAGAATTTTCAACCTAGAATTTCATATCCAGCCAAACTAAGCTTCATAAGTGAAGGAGAAAAAAAATCCTTTACAGACAAGCAAATGCTGAGAGATTTTGTGACCACCAGGCCTGCCTTACAAGAGCTCCTGAAGGAAGCACTAAACATGGAAAGGAACAACCAGTGCCAGCCACTGCAAAAACACGCCAAACTGTAAAGACCATCAATGCTAGGAAGAAACTGCATCAACTAACAAGCAAAATAATCAGTTAACATAATGACATGATCAAATTCATACATAAAAATATTAACCTTAAATGTAAATGGGCTAAGTGCTTCAATTAAAAGACACAGACTGGCAAATTTGATAAAGAGTCAAGACCCATCAGTGTGCTGTATTCAGGAGGCCCGTCTCATGTGCAGAGACACACATAGGCTCAAAATAAAGGGATGGAGTAAGATCTACCAAGCAAATAGAAAACAACAAAAAAAGCAGGGGTTGCAATTCTATCTCTGATAAAACAGACTTTCAACCAACAAAGATCAAAAGAGACAAAGAAGGCCATTACATAATGGTAAAGGTATCAATGCAACAAGAAGAGCTAACTATCCTAAATATATATGCACCCAATACAGGAGCACCCAGATTCATAAAGCAAGTACTTAGAGACCTACAAAGAGACTTAGACTCCCACACAATAATAATGGGAGACTTTAACACCCTACTTTCAACATTAGACAGATCAATGGGACAGAAAGTGAACAAGGATATCCAGAAATTGAACTCAACTCTGCACCAAGCGGGCCTAATAGACATCTACAGAACTCTCCACCCCAAATCAACAGAATATACATTTTTCTCAGCACTATATAGCGCTTATTCCAAAATTGACCACATAGTTGGAAGTAAAGCACTCCTCAGTAAATGTACAAGAACAGAAATTATAACAAACTGTCTCTCAGACCACAGTGCAATCAAACTAGAATTCAGGATTAAGAAACTCACTCAGAACCACTCAACTACATGGAAACTGAACAATCTGCTCCTGAATGACTACTGGGTACATAACAAAATGAAGGCAGAAATAAAGATGTTCTTTGAAACCAATGAGAACAAAGACACAACATACCAGAATCTCCAGTACACATTTAAATCAGTGTGTAGAGGGAAATTTATAGCACCAAATGCCCACAAGAGAAAGAAGGAAAGAT